TTATTTCCAGGATCAAATTGTTATGCACCAGCAATAGCATATCTCCAACAGCATGCTTCCAGTCGGCCATGCCCTGCCTATGCTCGTGATCCATGTGCACCTCGACGACCCGATCCTTGCCTAGATGTAATTTCTCTACAGACCATTTTTGCCTTGTGGATCTGCCTGCGTAAACCTGTCCATCATTAAAGCGATCATCTTGAATTCGCCATTTTTTTAAAGTTGAATATGCAAATTTCAGCGACCACAGACTTGTCCACCGATGATTGGACCAACTGCGGCAGATTCTTTGGAAAGTCGCTCTGGTTACGCTGTAGCATTGCCATCCTACGAATCTGATAACATTAATGTGCCTCAGCAAGAAAGCGAAAAGCCGTTTAGGCCTGTGCAACCACCATCATCACCCAGAACGACTGAAGAAAGGTCGATGGCTTCATGGTCCCCTTGGTCACCAGAAACTCCATGTTCAGTAACATGTGGGAATGGCGTTGTTATGAAAAAGCGATTCTGCTCTGTTGAAGGACAGTGTCTTGGTTAGTTTATGAATTTTTGCTAGTTAATGAAAAATTACCCATTATGGCAAAGTGATTCTACCGGAAAAGCCACTGGGGCCATAATCCCTTCAGGAGACGAAAGGGAGGTCAGTAGCGGACTGTTGTCAGGATCACTAGAAGACTAGCCACCAGGCGAAGCAGCATTGGTCAAAGCAACTGAAAAACTGGAGAACCACGCTGTGAACTGCAGCAGATGGAAGTATTAAGGTATCTCAGTGGTGACATCCAAAATTTTCATTTAGCAGTGTTTGTTTCGTTTACTTGCTGTTTTGGTTCTTGAATTAGCTAATTATTTCACGTAAGTCTGAGATTGTTCAGGTGAATCAATAAAGGAAGAAAGTTGTAATACTGGACCTTGCCCAGAATGGACAATGTGGTCAAAGTGGACTGAATGTTCACGGACTTGTGGTGGTGGTGAGCAGTCTCGAGAGCGTGTATGCTCGATGAACCAGAAATGTGATGGACCTTCAAAAGTTGGCTTTTATTAATTTTGTTATGAATATCATGTGGTATTGAATATCATGTGGCCTGGTTTCTACAAAAACCCACATACGCTCATACAATCACGTATACTCACATTCACAGATGAGGCGTCATTGGTATTCTTAGTATGTTGTTGAACCGTACTTCCGTCTCTTCAGTACCACTGTGTTGAAGGTAATGACATACACATACGAAAAGTGATCACTGTTAAAAGTTAAAGAGCGAGCAACGGAATGACGATGAGAGTGATGGAGCTAAAGGTGCTTGACGTGTCTGTTCGCAGCCACATAGATAATCATTTTGTCATATGGGCGGCGTGCGAGAGAACGTCATTACGACCACACGAGGAAGTAAAATCCATTGGTAGGGCACGCTATGCTATTGGAAGCCAGTGATTTCACGCACTGGTGAGTGTTATTTGGCGAGAAAGTAAACGACCACCGGCCAGCCCCGGAACAAGCAGCGTGCGTAGTCAAACAGGCATGGATACTGGTTCTAGGTATGGAATCTAGGGTCGCCGGATCAAGCGTAGCTGTGTCTGGCTTGTCAAAGTATCCTAATAACATGGCTAATACGAATGA